ATATGATAATTCACCAGCAGGATTGATACCATCTCCAGAATTACAAGAATGGAGAATTGCAACGAATGCAATCGATAAAGCGAAAGATGGAAATGGTAAGTAGTCAAAAGGGTTGATTATCAATCGATCGATTTTGACTTTTTTGCTAGCTAATTGTGGTGTGTTTGGACGTAAACGAAAAGTAATGAGAGACAAGTACTTAGCTAAACACAATGCGGTGTTTGATCAACTTGATTTGGTGACATACGAAGAAGTCATACGTTTACCTGAATTCCGTCGAAAAACACTCGTTCTACTTGGAGCACACGGTGTTGGTCGTCGTCATATCAAAAACACACTGATTACTAGTCAACCAAAACGTTTTGCTTATCCAATCCCACGTAAATATATCTGGATCATCTTTTTGGAAATGAAAACTTCTTTTGATTAGATACGACACGATTGCCGAAGAAAGATGAAGAAAACGGCAAAAATTACTTTTTTGTTACTCACGAAGAAATGATGCGTGATATAGCGAATAACGAATATCTCGAGTACGGCACACATGATGATGCCATGTATGGAACGAAATTAGAAACGATACGAAACATTAATCGACAAGGTCTCATGGCTATTCTCGATGTAGAACCACAAGCATTGAAGGTCTTACGTACAGCTGAATTTGCTCCGTATGTTGTTTTCGTTGCTGCACCGGACCTTTCCCAAATCAAAGGTGTCAATGTAAGATATACGAATCTTTGCTCAAATTTTTACTTTGTATTTATATTCGGTTAGGATGAAAGTCTAGAACGGTTGGTAAAAGAAAGTGAACTGCTACAACAAGCCTATGGCCATTATTTCGATTTAATCATTGTTAATAACGACATCGAAGAGACTATTCGTGCAGTAAGTTCGCTCGTTTGATTTATTTCGAGTGATGAATTTTCTTTCCATAGTTGCAATATGCCATCGAACGAGTTAGTCATCAATCTCAATGGGTACCTGTTAGTTGGGTTTATTAGAATTTCAATGACAAAGCAGATAATATTTCATTGGTCAAATGCAATTCATGTGAATAGTTAACAGACTAGTCAACCATAAGCCTATTTTTGTTTTGTGTTCTTCAAGATCTGATATAATTCTTCCTAGACGAATTCATGTTTTTCTGCATGTAAATAGACATCGATGTTCTCTATGACTGTTGTCAGTACTCTTATGTCTCTTATCTCTATTGAATAATTTTTAGTATTACTATTTTTATTTGAAATCTTCTCTAAAAAAAAGAAGCACATTACTGTTTATATGGTGTAGTGTTTGTAGTGACAATCTTTTTATTTTGACTAGTGTTCTTTTCGGAAAACTTTACCCACTTGTTACAAGTACACATTTCATTCATGTTATTAGAATTAGAATGTCTCATTTTTGTACATGTATGTGTGTTAGGTTTACTTTTTTTCCTATGCAGTCAATACGTATAATTCTAATCATTTTTGAGTGTCCTTTTTTTCTTCTGAACACTAATCGAAACTAATATCACAATAAAATGAATAATAATAAGAACAAGTAACGCTCGTCGACAGACTCGCTCCGCAGCTCTTTCTCGTAGAAGGAGTGCTTTTAGATGATACTTTTTTAATAAACTATTGCGTATATAAGACAAGTAACGCTCGTCTGTGGACTCGCTCAGCTCTTTCTCGTAGAAATCATCCTCTATAATATCACTGAAGTTTCTGTTTATATAATATGTAAAACCTGATTTGAGATTCGTAATTCTCGACTTCGAAAACCCTTCGGTCAAACTTCACCAAAAAACAATTTTTCCGTAAAAAAGAACCCTTTTCCTAAAAAATTTTTTTATGAAAAATTTTAAAAAGCTAACATCAAATTTGGATTCCTCGACCTTTAAAACCCTTTCGTCAGTCTTTATAAAAAAAATTGGTCCTTTGTCTCAAAAAAACTCTTTTTATGAAAAATTTCACAGAGCTGACATCAGATCCATGTTCCTCGACCCAAAAAACCTTTGGTCAAGTTTCATGAAAAAAAAATTGGGTCTCTGTCTCAAAAAAATTTTTTTACAAAAAATTTCGAGAAACTAACATCAGATTCGAGTTCCTCCACCCAAAAAACCCTTTGGTAAAATTTTATTAGAAAAAAAATTTCTTTTGTAAAATAGTCGTTCTTTGTCTAAACAAATTTTTTTTTTATGAAAAATTTCCAAAAAATAACAGCAGATTCGAAGTCTCCGTATCGAAATACATCTAGAAATGTCTTTTCGGAAAATCGATTTTCAATGTTTTTTTGACCCTGCGGACATACAAACAAACAAGCAAGCAAACAATTTATGTTTCTAAGACTCTTCTCTACGAGAAAGAGAATATTGCCGTTGAAATAAAAAAAACTTTCAATATTTTATGCAAAATGCCTATAAAAAGAAGATATTTTTTATATCTTGTGAGCTAAATTAGGACATCATGCGCATGTTTTTTTAATATTATTTTAGGCACATCTTGTGCAGTTTTTTCCGCTCTATCGAATCCATATGGAATTATTCTCGGCCCGAATTTTTTTTGATCCGATTTATCATAAAAACACTGAAAAACCCCCCAATTTTTCAATTTTTTTTACAAATTTTTAGGGGGTTTTTGAGGGGTTTTGACTAGTTTTAGTCTTGATACATGTATTTAGAAAAGTGCTAAGTATGCAGTTTTGTAGAGCTGAATTCGCTCTATCATTTGGCATATTATTCAATATAGTTTGGCTTCATTTTTAGGACAGAAAATAATCAAATACTAAATACATAAAGATTCAAAATATAAAATGTGATTACATTTTAGTGTTGAATAAAGGAACTTTGATATCCACCCGACCATTAGTCCAAAAAGGCTAAACCTTTGGATTTAGGGGTTTTTCTACATGCTCTTTCATTTGCGATATTAAAAAATGGGGGTCGAAAATTTTTGTATGACGACCATATGCGAAAATGCTCGATTCTGTCATGGACCGTCTCTTAATCATTGAAATGAAACATTTTGTGATGAATTGTTTCAATCTTCAACAAATACTATTAATTATCTTCATACATGTGATAATCTTGTTCAATTTTCCACGAATCCTGTTCTTTTTGGTAATATGTATTTTTTATATGAACCAAAGAGAATTTTGGAAGTAAATATTAATTCAGTTCTTTTACCTGATTATATTTGTTATAATAAACGATTATGTAATTTTCTGAATTCATCAATATTTCTTAATCACACATATACATGTTATTATGCTGACCAAGTGGATTTAAAACATATGACGCGTTATAGCAATTTCCCGGAAACTGTTTGTATTTTGGATATTAAAGATTAGAATTAGAAAAGGATAAGAATTTTACCATAAGCCAGTTTGTTAAACTGAGGAGTCAGGGAAAGCTGAGTGGTAGACACGAAACCCTAATTATTACAAGGTTATGCAATCCAACATCACTTCGTCGTATTTCTTTAAACAAACAATAAACTACGAAAGAAAATGATATCAGCGACAGAATGAATCAGTGGACATCCGTTAGCAAAACGGTTAAACTCTTTCTTTTCTTTTTCACTCTTCGATGTAAGCACTTAAGGGTGGCACATTATTAACAAAGAGCTAAATTATATGAAAGAAGTGCGTCAACACCATATTTGGTAAAAGAACAAATCTGTTCAAAAAATTCAGTTTGACGTCCATTAGTAGATTTTATATCTCTCAAAACGGAACAAATGAGTTTACTCATCGATAGCAATGCTTTTATCTAACCTACCTGAAAAATCTGTATAATTATAAAAATATCAAATGTTTTATTCATTTTTATCCACTAGATCGTAGTTGTGCTACACAATGTTAGCTTTCATATTAGAGCATGTGAATGGGTCAGCAACGAAAGAGAACGAAAAGAGAGAAAAAGTGACCTTTGTGGGGTTCGAACCCACATCTCCTCTTATTCGGACAGTCGCCTTAGCCAATTAGACCAGAAAGTAGGCATGCACCAATACCAAACCTTTTGGTTTTGAGGATTTAGTTTCGACAACGATTTTGGTTTTGATGATTTTACTCTTTTTTTAAGGTAAATCGAATGAGACTGTTTTCAACAACCAAAACCAAAACTAAAAGATCAAAGCCAAAACCACATGCAGACCAAAACTTCAAAACTAGTTTTGGTATTGGTGCATGCCTACCAGAAAGACCAACTTAGACTATAGTTTAGCGCCGAGTGAATCACCAAGACGCTAACACACAACAACCTTTATTCTCCGACAGATTAAGTATGTGAAAATCAAATTAAAAATGATATCATATATCTCGTAGATCGAGGATGTTGGGGATACGCCATGTCTTACCGGGCATCCATCTTACGTTTTTGTCTCAGACAGAGAAGGCTAAAAATATTTTTACCATTTATAAATCAGAGGGGCAGCGGTATATATTGAACAGAAATGTTCACTGTGCAGAGCATAGCTATTATGATCTGCTATTTTTACGCATTATTTTCTTGTTTTATAATGAACTGAAATAACCGCTTTTTTCGATGCAATAATGTGTCAGAAAAAATAAAAGTAATAGATATGGTTGACTCATACTAGCTAGTTACTTTCTATAGTATAGATAACTGTTATAGAGACGACGGGGATAAAATGGTACCCGATTTAGAAATTTTGACTTTCAGAGCTCATATCATTTCCAATTTTGAAGATACAACAAACTTTTTGCCACAAAAATGGTAAAAAAAAACATTTTACTATCGATCTGTGTTTTTCGTTTTGGAAACTCTCATCATGTTACACTTTCATGCAGGGTTACCAACTGTACCCCATTTGGGGATACAGCACCCCATTTCGCTACTTTGCACCCCAAGAAAATCTGTACCTTTGGGGTACGCATTCTGTACCCCATTTCGATATTCTTCAATAGACTCTTATAAACAATACGTAGTGTAGCATCTTTCTATTAAAAACTAGAGGAGGCTTTTTGCTACAACTTCTCTCTTGAATTTCGCGCAGATGAGAAATGTAAAACCACGTCGTCCAAATTGCTTAAAAGTTCACGATCTTGTCGTGAGCTTTGCTCCAATTGTTAAAGAGATGATTTCGTAAGTTATTTCCAGGATCGAGAATTTTCTGAAACTCTTTCAACCCAGATCGAACAATCCGGCACGGAAACGGCCGGTTCCATGGTATTCCGGAGATTTCATGGAAGCAGTATTCCCGATGAGCGGATTTATCTGGTTTGGGCCGGAACCGACAGGAACATATCAAAACCGGTAGCCGGATACGGTTACCGCTTTTCTCCATCGGATTCCTGGCATTTTACGGGCGGATTCCGCTCAGAAATGGCGAGTTTCCTCAGGGATTTCCTCGGAAATTCATGGAATCCTGCTTTAGGAATCATCGTCCTGGGTGGTGACAATTAACCGATCACATCACTTTAGTTAAACAAACTGACCGTATTAAACTATTCTGTCTCATCAGATAAAAAAGAGTCAATGGCTCTACTGCAAGTAAGTAATTAGACTAATGATAAAACTATGAATATATATGTTGCTAAAGCTGATGACTGTCATTGATTTTCACTACAAGATCGTGGACGATGTACGATTTTGACAGTGAAAATACTGATTGTTGGTGATTATAGCAAAAAATTTTAAAAAGAAACCGTGATTCTCTGGCAGTATAGTCGTAGTTGTGACAATACGGGAATTTCATTATCTGATGAGTGAACTATATATAAATAAAGCATTATCGTTTGTCAATGACTAGTCTTCTCAGTTTACATTTCTCACGACGTCCTAGGAGTCACAGTGGATCTTGAATCGATTAAGCTCCTTGCATTTGAGAAGTTTACATGCTGCTGTTCTAACTGGTTTGAAGAGAATCGAAAAATCATTGTGCATTCCAGTTTTTTCATTAAGAGACATAATGAAACGGGTTTTATTTATATGACTTTTTTGTCTGAAAACAAACATCTCACAACATATCTTACAGAGAAAGAAGATAAAATGATTTTTCGGTAATAATAAGTCTTTTGTGGACTTCTTCTTCGAATAGATCTGGTATATTTCCGAAGAAATTTTGTACCTCACGTCTGTACCCTATTTGGAGGAAAGCTGTACCTCTCGTGCACCCCATTTCTCATCTCCGATACCCCATTTGAGACCTGAACAGTTGGTAACCCTGAGTTGAACCCGCATGGCACCTTTTATATGAAAAAAAAACGAGGATAGCGTACGAGGATTAATTAATTAACTACTCAATAACATCTGAAAAAGCATATATTTTTACATACATTCATGCTAAAAGAATTTAGTTATAAAAGGCACTGCCGTCAAAAACTAAAGTGAACAGGGAGATGATAATGTCCTGTTCCGCATGATTTTGCTCGTGGATGTTAGCTTGTGTTGAAGGGGAATTCTATATGGAAAGGGAAAGTAGAATTTATGTTCAACTTTTCGAGGTTAAACCTTTTTCTTTAAAAGTGGGACGGATTCTTTCTGGAGTAGGAACATGATCCAGTCCTCATTTGCAAGGTATAGTAATCCCTTTTTCTTTCGCTTTTGTAGTGCTTCATAAACCAAAATAGAGTTTATATCTTCGTTTATGACAATAAAGAAGGGATTCTTCACACATTGCAATTTCATAAACCTTTTCTCTCTTTATAAGTCCATCATAAACGGTTGTACTGTTAGCTATTCACCAATTTTTTAGTGTTGATACAAATATCTACATTTCAGATTCATTTTGTAGTGATGTCTAAAGTAATAAGAAAACTTTTCCGCGATAATTTTTTACGCCGTATATTCGCGCCTATCTGTATTACAATCATTCTGACCATAATCCTTAAAAATGCAACGCTGAAAACGACGACTACCAAACCAATAGTTCTAGATGCTTTACTAAAACAAAATTCTCCTCTGGAAAATGAACTATCAGATGAAAGTATAAAATATACTACAAAATCAGCACGAATCGATTTAAATGCAACATTAGAAACAACAGTTCGATGTGTTGGATCAGTTTACAATCAATCATGTCTCTTTGAAAATCTCTACTATGTTGATAGTACATTTACAATGTTAATAGTAAAAGGAAAACCTTTACCGGAACATTCTGTACGAACAGATGCTTTCATCTTTTCGAATTTAACGCCGAATAAGCGAGAATTTGATACATATGTCGATCTTCAACAGTTTGTTCGTTGTGTTATCCAACCAAAACGATTTCCTTATGTAACACTTCATTTTGGACAACCATGGCATCATAATATTGGTCATGCACTTTTTGATGGACTCTATCCAGCATATGTTGCAATGATTCGTTTTACACCTCGACATCTTTATCCATTTCGTATTTTAGCTGGAATTGATACTTGCAATGATTGTTGGAGTGAAGATGTTTATAGTCGTTTTGGCGGTCTAGGCATTATTAAACACAGTGTTCTCAATAAATTATCAAGTGGTCGTTGGTATGTTTTTGATGAAATTGTAATGGGTAGTGGAACGATGTGTCAACGTTGTACTCGACCTGATTTACAATTAGCTGGTGGTGTTGAATTAGACGCTTCAAGGTTGTTTCGTGATCGAATGTATCAACAACATGGATTTCTTCCTTTAACTTGTCGATATAAATCTTCATTGGAACATCGAAAATCGAATGATATTCTTCGAGCATATGTTGTTGATAATAAACGTTTTACATTAGATGATCGCAAAGAAATTAACGACGCCATTGAAGAAATTAATAGTTATACTTATTCATATATACATAAAATGATAAATAATTCAAATAAATTACAATGGCCGTTGATTAATGTTACTTACATTCATTATCAATGGATTAAAGCAAACAACGATAGTTCAATTTCAACTGATACCACTGCAATGGACTCTCGTTCACCAACATATGAAATCAATGATAATAATTTTATTGCCCAATTAAAACTTCTCCGTCAAATGGATATTCATATAACTGGTCCCGGAACAGGCCAGATGTATCAGACATTTTTATCTGATGGGTCTGTTTCAATTAATATTGGAGGTATCAGACCATGGGCAGCCGAAGGTACACCCAAAGCATATACTTCATTTCTTGAACAACATATGACAAGTGGTACACCATATATTAAAGGTCTTTATTATCCAATTAATGAACGACAAAAAGGTATACGTAAAGATGAAGTCGTTAAATTAATCCGTCAAGCGGGTAAAATTATTTTGCAAGGATTTTCATTACCAGTTAATCCTCGAGAGAATTTAGCACCTGATGGACAATTATTTGTTGAAATGTGTGGAAAAGATACAAAATTTTGTGATTCTGTTACAATAAGAACAGCAAATCAACTATATGTCTGTATAGATTTATGGATTGAAGATCTTGTTCACGAGGAGCGTCAATGGAAAGAGGGTGGTTATCTTGACAATGGTCGTAATCTTAGTTGTCCATTCAATCGCACATTATTACGTGGATTAAGAAAAAAATATGGTATTAAATATCGTGGAGGTAATTCATCGAAATCTATTTAAATACAGTTTTAAATACAACCAAAAACAAATTAATTTCTATAACTAAGGTACAAATTAATTTGCTTATCTTAACACTTACTTTTCAGTAATCAATGTACTGAGTCGAAAATAAGTGATAAAATTAATGAATGAATTTATTCTTATTAAAGTATAAATATATGTAGCCCTTTCCGGCCGGATGTTGCCATTTGGCAACATTTTACTGATGTTAATATAAGTTTTTTCTTAAAACGAAGAGACATAGTTTTTCATGCCATTCGATAAATAACTACACACATTTTAGCACAAATATATGTGTTTGCTAGAGAGAAGTAATCTTCTGTTGGCGAACGGGATCAATTCTCCCGAAACGTCCAAAAGAGCTCCCGAATGGAAAAGATCTTCTTATCGCTTATTCAAGCATTGTATATGAGAAGTGACTAGCACTTAATTTTTGCCTCTAACCCTATTATCTGTTAAGAATATAACATGGATTAATTAGGATTTTCGAATAACAAAATTTGAGTATGTTGCCATTTGGCAACATCCGGCCGTAAGGGTACAAAAAAGTTAAAAAAGCCAGTTATTTTTTTTTCATAGATGGGCAGTAGTTTGGTGACAGTTCTATTCTATATTGCCAAAATAAAGCATACTTAGCTCATCTATCTATCTTATGGAGCGTTATGATGGAGTAGATCTCAATAATGTCAAAAAAACTGATCAAAATGTCATAAATTTCAACAATTCCACTATAAATCATTATCTATTTAGGGAGATTCTAACATTATTCACAACACATCAGCGTATCTTTACGTAGGCTATCATACAACATTAAAATTCGTGTGAAAAATTAATCACCAAACGAGTATTTATAGTGGACTTGTTGAAATTTATGATATTTTGATCAGTTTTCTAACATTATTGAGATCTACTCCATCATAACGCTCCATAAGATAGATAGATGAGCTAAGTATGCTTTATTTTGACAATATAGAATAGAACTGTCACCAAACTATTGCCCATCTATGAAAACCAATAACTGGCTTTTTTAATTTTTTTGTACCCTTACGGCCGAATGTTGCCAAATGGCAACATGTTGACAAACAGCTCTGTGTTAGTTCTTTGAACTTGCGGATAGAATATGGTAGCATCCATATATAAAAGATGCAGAATATGCAGTATTAACATTTCTTTCTTGTTGTCTTCTGCGAGCCGGCCGGAAAGGGTTAAGACATTTCTATTAGAAAACTTCATTAATGAGATCAACTAAATCATGACTTGCCGAGACAGAAAGACAGGATAAATTATATACAGGAACAAAACTGCGCTTTGCTCAATGGTTCTAACTATCTTTATCCATTCTGCCACAGTTTGAATGGGACTCTTAGTACTTATGATTTTGTAAGCTGGGAATAAAAAATATATTATCAGCCATTCCATATAAGCCACGAACGAAAGTGCTCAAAGGTCATTCGCCGATTTGGCTCATTTTCGCATATGTGATAGGGGCAAGTGTTTGATGTATTTTGGTGAAAGCCGATTAAAAAAATATTGAATCGTTCGGTTGTTATAGTAGTTTTACTGAAAGCACTATAAAATTGACTTTTTCAAGGAACGATTTTGAACACTCTGAAAAGTCAAGAAAACATCAATCGTTTGAGCTGAAATTTTTCGTACATCAACATCCAGGTAAGTTCTACATGTGCTGTAAATTTCAACTGAAATGATTGGATGGTTGGTATTTTATGGATCTCACAATTTACGAAAAAATGACTGCTTTTAACAACTTTCGACCCTTATATCTCCTGATTGTGGGATGATAGAGGTCTGAAATTTTCAGGACAAGTACATCCTAGTACCATCTATATATCCTATAAATTTCAGCCCTTTAGAGCAAAGCATTCGTGTAGAACAAGTGAAACAAAAATGAAATTTTTCAAAAATAACGATTTTCGACCTCAGTTTTCTCCCAGGAAATCACCTAACTTTTTAAATCTCCTATCCAGCTTTGAAGACCCCACCTAGGTCTACAACCTGCCATAGAAGAAAACTTGGGACGCACACGAGCCGCTTCACAATTTGCCAATCTTTTACACAAAAAATGAGTTTTGCGAACTCCACTTTCGAGACCTAATTTTTTCTCAATATCTCGCGAATGGTTCATCCAAGAGGTTTGAAGCTTTCAGGATTGATAGATGTCAAGGAACAAAGGAAAATATGCGCGAGAATTGAGGCTTCACAATGCCTGGATCTGAGCATTAACTGAATTCTATTAGATAAGAACTATTCTGGTCGTTTCTTCTTCTATATTTTTCTTTGCGTTTAATTCGATCGAACTGAAGTTTTTCCATAAATAGTGACTATTTTTCCAGCATTTTCAGTTAGTTTTCTCCTTTTGAGAATCTGTTTTCAAACCAGGGAAGTTTGAAATATTGGAGAATTCCGAAAGTTTTTCTGTCTGATCCCTAATACGGCGATAGTAAATGATGCATGAAAAGGCCAATAGTTCTGAAGAAAGAGCAGATACAAGAGAAAAAGCCACAACTTTACTGAAAGTATAGATTGAATGTCTTCGGTTTGTCAAAACAAAAACTTATTGATTTTTCATTGTTCTGCAACATAGATTCTATATTGATTCTGTTAACGGAACAATGGTAAATAACAAAATTTATATTATTCAACTATTGTTATTTTCGAGTTGACTATTAAGTTATCTTGTTGCCAGACAATATTAACATATGCCTCTTAATATTGAAAGATGTGTGGTTTTGCGTAATATAACAGTACGACGCTCCATTGAAGTATGAATAAATGAACTGGAGAGAACGACAAAATATACACAATATTCAAGTGCATTCAAAAGAACAGGAAAGACGATCACTCAACCGTTGTTAATGAACTTTGTTCTTCTTTTCTTTTGCACTACAATGAGATATCATAGGTTGTATAGTTCATAATGCATCGAGTAAGACCGTATTAGAAGACGAAGAAGTACAAAAGTAAAAGATAAATGAAGAAAAGTGTGCTTTGTTTAACTCATAAACTGATTGTTGTACAAACTATTCGAAAAGATAAATTTGATTTGTATAATCTCTATTGTTCCACAATAGAGAAGGGATTACGTGAATAACTCATAATATAGACATCAACGATAACAATACAGACAGACTGATTCTTAGTAAAAAATGAAATGATTCTGGCAAACATATAAAGTCAAGTTAATTTCGGAAATAAATCAGTTCCACCAAATATTATATATGTATATAATATATAGCGCTATAGCAGAATGCTTCCATTTGGTTTCGAACAGGTTTATAGTTCTACTGCTTTCACATTATATAGTAACGATAAAGTCTGCCACAAAGGCTCTAGGCTCAACAACTATTTATGAAAAAAACTTCAGTTCGATCGAATTAAACGCAAAGAAAAATATAGAAGAAGAAACGACCAGAATAGTTCTTATCTAATAGAATTCAGTTAATGCTCAGATCCAGGCATTGTGAAGCCTCAATTCTCGCGCATATTTTCCTTTGTTCCTTGACATCTATCAATC